AGCTTTGTTTTCTTCGAACAGATTAAGTCCAAACACATGCTCTGCACACTTTACCAATCTGTTGCAAATGCTCTTGGGCGCTTGACCAAGGTTCTTTAAGAGTGTTTGACAGTTCCTCGATTGTCTAACACAGATTTTCTTCCACTTCCGCCCTTAAAGCGTCATTAGAGAGTTTTTGCACACCGTATTTCGGACGTCCGTTAGCTTTTTCGCCGTAACAATCTGTCTCCTGTAGCAATTTTCTCCGTATCTTTCTGCGTCTGTAACAATGTTTCCTATGAGCATGCGCGCTACGGTGAAAAAGCTAACGGATGTCCGAAATACGGTGTGCAAAAACTCTCTATTGTCTATAGTTGTTAATCTACTTGATTGATAAGAGTCGGAAAGATCAATTTCTGATCGTAGAAAACCACTTTTGTCATTTACGAAAGTCTAATGAGTTTGGATAAACATCGCAAATGTTTTTGGTAACAACTATTGCCTTACTATCCAAACACATACTATGCTGGATAGGTAGTTATTCTGGTCATTTCTTCCGCCCTTTCCCCAAAACGGTTTACAAATAAGCAAATCATTCTAACTTTAAAACGTCTTTGAAGTATGCCATTAGCTGATAAGCGATAAGCAAATATTGACATAAGCAGAAACGACACTACCTTCCAGTACCCCTAATACATAAGATGTAACGCATGTGATCTTGAATTAAATTACAAATGCTATTATAGATACTTGAAAGGTAAAAATGACGATAAAAACATAATGAATTGAGTAAAATCAATGTTTCTCGCATATTTTAATTGAAAAAAATATTTCAGTCAGTGTTAATTTTTATAAATTTTTTGTTTTGCATCTGTTTAACTTTTTCTTAAAAAAAAATAAATAAATAAATAAAATAAAATCTATTACAATACAAAATGCGATGGCTGTAAAGAATTGTAAAATTTTTAATCAAATTTGTAAATATAAATAAATGGAAATATTTGAAAATATTATAATAATATTTGAAAATAATGTCATAAGGATAGTACATAATATACGTTGTAATTATTTAAAAGATTAAAACAAAATGCAACATAATTAAAATTAAAACCTATAAAATTTTCAGCCAAGTATTTAATTAATAATCTCACTCTAATTTTTTTCATTTACTATCTTTTTTTTTTTTTTATATATATCTTTTTTTTTATATAATCATTGAAATATGCATTGATCCCTCTCTGAAAATCTCTGAATCATTAAATCAATTTTGTGGTCACAATGTCTCAGTGTAAAAGATTAAAGCTAAATGTCACCTAATTAAAATTGAAACATTTGAAATTTTGTGCCAAATATTTAACTAATAAAATCTTTCATTTACTATCAATTATTTTATATAAAATAATCATCCAAATGTGTATTGATCTCTGTCTAAAAGTCTCCGAATCATTAAATCAATTTTGTTGCCATAATGTCTGAGTGTAAAACATTAAAACTGAAGGTAACATAATTAGAATTGAAACATTTGAAATTTTGAACCAAATACTTAATTAATAACTTCACTCTAATTTCCTCCATTTACAATCAATTTCTTTATAATATAAACATTGAAATATGCATTGATCTCTCCCTAAAATCTCTGCATCACAGAATCAATTTTGTTGTTTAAAAAATTTGTGATCATAGTGTCAGGGTAGGACGAGATACGTTTTTAAAACTCTTTCGTCCACGTCATCAAGAATTTTACCCGCTTCCGTTCGACACACGTATTTCTCCTTGAACACGTGTTTGACCTTGAACATTTGGTGAATGAATTTGTCCCCCGTGAGGTTGATGTAAGGGCTTGCAATGTTCAACTTATTCAGAAAATATATGCAAATATTTTTCTATATTTGCTATGCGTTGTTGGAAAAAAATATAATAGAAGTAAACGAAAAACTAATTTGATACAAAACGTTCGCATTTATTCAACAAATGTTCATAATTGAGTCGATTTTTGTAACAACGTCAAGGTCAAGGACATGTTTCAACCGTTTGAATACCAAGCATAAAAATGAGCCATAGTGCACCACTTTTACATGCTAGATAAGTACATTTTATATTGATGAAAAGTTACAATACTCATCTATTGATAAATCAATTAAACTCATTTAAAATCAAGTTTTGGCTTGCAAAAATCTAACAAACAACGATTTTCGAAACAGATGCTTGTATTTTTAAACACTCTAAATATTTATATTTATTGTTTTTAAACATCTGCCCTTTTTCTATAACCAATAAATAAAATCATTCTATACGTGTAAAGAGAATTGTCTATGCTTTGTTAGTAATTATGGCATATTAATTTGTATAATTTATCAAGTATATTTTCGTGAGGAATTGATCTTCGTAGCATTGCTTATTTTTGATTAATTAATGTATACATTATCTATATATAGGAATTTTAATGTATTATAAATATTAATGTATATATAATATAATGTATATATAGTATAATGTATATATATCCAGCAGGCAGACGCTGCCTGAGGGCCAATTGCCTGTATCTCTGGCCTTTAGTACCACAGGCTTCAGTTCGAATCCCGGTGGTGCTATTGATGTTTGTGAGTGGTTCGGAATCCACGTTAAACTGTAGGTCCTGGTCTAAAGTGTGCACAAGATGACCCTAGAGTGGCAACCAAACCAGACGGCCTTGGCCCATTATGGGTTAATGCCCCGACGAAGAAGAATATAATGTATATATATTAATGAAGAAAGATAAGATTTTTTAATATTATTTTAATTAATGTTTTGAATATTAATTAATGTGATATATATTAATTATGGAGAATATTTTCTATTTTCTGATAAACAAATTAATCAGTTGCATTTAAACATAATTTATAATAGTCAATTCTTGTAGAAGCAAAGCGTGTGTAAAAAAAAATATTTCGAATATTTAAAGAAATTATTTTTTTTTTTTTCCTTTTGCAATATCTGAGCAGCCTGATGGATAATTGGTATCACAGGAATTCAGGTTCGAATCCTGGCGGTGGAATGGATGTTTGTGAGAAGTTCGGAATCCACGTTAAACTGTTAGGTTCCAATCTAATTAGCCTAAAATTTGCACAAAATGACAGTAGAGCGACAAACCACTTTTGCAATATTTTATTATCAATTAAACTAAATTGAATTGTTTTATATTTTTTATAAAACAGATAAAAAAAAAAAAAACGTCTGCAATTTTTTTAAAAAGTTCAATTAAAAGAATAAGAATTAGAAAGAAGCAATGAAATGATTTCATAATTTTTTAAAATATTGCTTACTGTCGATGTAATTGAAATGATTAATTTATTTTAGATTTAAAAGAACTACTATTTTATAACTATTTCTATTATTTTAACTTATAAAAGTATTGTACATTGTAATCATAAATAATTGAAATTAACAATCATCATAATTCATTTTTACTAAGCTTTTGGCATAAGCGTATGTAAAAAATTGCATTAATTTTATTATCAATTGAACTAAATTGAAATGTTTTATATTTTTTGATAAAGCAAAGTTTTTTTTCTCATTTAAAAAAAAAGCATTTCCAAATTTTTTTTTTTAAATTCATTTGAAAGAATACTATGAATTTATATTTAGGAAGAAGCAATGAAATTATTTAATATATATATATATATATATTAATATAATGATTTCTGTAGATCTAATTGAAATAATTAATTCGTTTTAGATTTAAAGGAACCAATATTTTATAATTATTTCTATTATTTTAACTTATAAAAGTATTGTAGATTGTAATCATGAATAATTAAAATTAACAATCATCATAATTTATTTTTACTATGCTTTTGGTATAAGCGCGTATGTAAAAAAAAAAATTGTTTCGATTGTTTAATGCAATTTTTTTTTTTCTTTGTTAATTTTATTATCAATTGAACTAAATTGAAAATGTTTTTTTTTTTTTTTTTTTAATAAAGCAAAGCTTTTTTTTTTTTCTTCTCATTTTAAAAAAAAAAGCATTTGCAAATTTTTTAAAAAATTCAATTGAAAGAATACTATGAATTTATATTTAGAAGAAGCAATGAAATTATTAATAATATATATATATATATATATATTAATATAATGTTTCTGCAGATCTAATTGAAATAATTAATTCATTTTAGATTTAAAGGAACCAATATTTTATAATTATTTCTATTATTTTAACTTGTAAAATTATTGTAGATTTTAATCATAAACAATTGAAAACAACCTGTATCATAATTTATTTTTTACTAAGCGTTTGCCAACAACGTACTTCGTATGTAAAAAAAATTGTTTCGAATGTTTAATAAAATGATTTTTTCCCCCTTTCCATTGCAACATTTTTAGTATTAATTGGACGGGGTGCGCAGAAGATCTACCTCCCGTGGGGCACCTGGTAACACTTTTTAGTGGCTAAAAGATCTGCAACTTGGCATTACTGTTAGATGAATGAACTCTGTTTCCAGCATGTTTCGTTGTATTATTTTTGCTGTTGTTGTATGGTTTTTTTTTTTTTTTTTTTTCGTTGTTCTTTTTTTGCTGTAACTGTTCATAATCTGCCATTGGAAATAAAAAATAATGTATAAAAAGTATTAATTGACTGAAATTGAAATGTTTTATAAACAGAATAAGAATCCCTTTGCTGTTTGAGGACAGACATAGGAGTGCAGTTGTTGAGCAAGTGTGCAATGGGTGGAGCTTTCTAGGCATAAAGTATTCTAGGGAATAGAATCTCTGGTCAGTGAAACCAGGGGGAAGAGAACGCCTTGGCAAAAGAAAGGCAGAAGACCCTGTTCATAACCTGGGCACGGAGTTGAGAAAAACAGGTTATCCATTCGCCTCCGTGAACAATAGCGGGAGAGTGGGTAACACAAGGGTCTGCCCAATCTTTGCGGCAGGAAGAAAACTTCTTGGTGGTCTCACTGGGAATGTTTGGATTGGAATCCTAATTTCCTTATTTTGCTTTTCACATAGTCCGATTTTATCAGTTACACATTTTAGGTAGCCAACGGCCGTACTATATGCTGAATATACCGAATCTCGTTAGATCACCGAAGTCAAGCATCATTGGGCGCGGTCAGTACTTGGGTGGGTGACCACAGCGTGCCGTTGGCATTCACACGTTTGGGACCTGAATGGCCGAGGTGTCAGAGCTCTGGCGCTCGAGCCACAGGTTTCGGGTTCGAATCCCCCGGCGGTGCCATGATGTTTGTAGTGGTTCGGAATCCACTTTAAGTCGTAGGTCCCGGTCTCCTATGACTGTAGAGCGTCACGGAGCAGAAGTCAGGCTTCTACCTACGGGTGCTCCATTACAACAGAAGCTGCTTCCTTCCCCTTCAATCATGAGTACGTATGGGCTCGTGGGCTTGGCCAGCCAGGTGGGATAAGAAACAACAACAACAACAACATATTTTAGGTATTTATTTTGGGGAGATGTCCAAATGGAAGGCACGGCTACAGTTATCGCTTTTGGCACTTTGGCGCCAAGTTGCCACTCGCCAGCATGGCAGAAAATTTCTTTTTATGGAATGTTTTTTCATGGTCTAGTTGGTCAATTTAGCGAGAAATGGTCAACAAGTGGCAGATTTAGGCTTAGGCCCGCGACAAATTTTTAGCGGCGACAAAATTTTCGAGGTGGCAAAAATTTGAAATCGATTTTTTTGTATCAAGTCTAAGACCGAATTTGAATGCTTCTTTTCTTGCTTTGACAACCACAAGATGTCATTATTTAAAGGGTAGAATTATTTCTTAAAATAATTAATCGTGTAAGCAGCCTTTTCCTGCTTTGACAACATCAAGATGTCATTATTTAAAGGGTAGAATTATTTCTTAAAATAATTAATTGTGTAAGCAGTCTTTTTCTTGCTTTTGACCACCTCAAGATGTCATTATTTAAAGGGTAGAATTATTTCTTAAAATAAAATAATGACAATCAAAGATGTCATTATTTAAAGGGCAGAATTATTTCTTTTTCTTAAGCAGTCTTTTTGCTTTGACAACATCAAGATGTCATTATTTAAAGGGTAGAATTATTTCTTAAAATAATTAATTGTATAAGCAGTCTTTTCTTGCTTTGACAACCTCAAGATGTCATTATTTAAAGGGTAGAATTATTTCTTAAAATAATTAATCGTATAAGCAGTCTTTTTCTTGCTTGACAACCTCAAGATGTCATTATTTAAAGGGTAGAATTATTTTTAAAATAATTAATCGTGTAAACAGTCTTTTCTTGCTTTGACAACCTCAAGATGACATTATTTAAAGGGTAGAATTATTTATTAAAATAATTAATCGTATAGCAGTCTTTTCTTGCTTTGACAACCTCAAGATGTCATTATTTAAAGGGCAGAATTATTTCTTAAAATAATTAATAAGCAGTCTTTTCCTGCTTTGACAACATCAAGATGTCATTATTTAAAGGGTAGAATTATTTCTTAAAATAATTAATTGTGTAAGCTTTCAGTCTTTTCTTGCTTTGACCACCTCAAGATGTCATTATTTAAAGGGTAGAATTATTTCTTAAAAATAATTAATCGTGTAAGCAGCCTTTTCTTGCTTTGACAACCTCAAGATGTCATTATTTAAAGGGTAGAATTATTTCTTAAAATAATTAATCGTATAAACAGTCTTTTCCTTGCTTTGACAACATCAAGATGTCATTATTTAAAGGGTAGAATTATTTCTTAAAATAATTAATTGCTTTATAAGCAGTCTTTTCTTGCTTTGACAACCTCAAGATGTCATTATTTAAAGGGTAGAATTATTTCTTAAAATAATTAATATAAGCAGTGTATCAAGATGCAGTCTTTTTCTTGAATTATTTCTTAAAATAATTAATTTGACTTTGAAACCTCAAGATGTCATTATTTAAAGGGTAGAATTACTTTTTAAAATAATTAATCGTATAAACAGTCTTTTCTTGCTTTGACAACCTCAAGATGACATTATTTAAAAGACATTATTTATTTAAAGGGGGTAGCAGTCTTTTCTTACTTTATTTCTTATTTAAAATAATTAATAATCGTCAGTCTTTTCTTGCTTTGACAACCCTCAAGATGTCATTATTTAAAGGGTAGAATTATTTCTTAAAATAATTAATCGTGTAAGCAGTCTTTCTTACTTTAACCCCAAGATGTCATTATTTAAAGGGTAGTCTTTTTCTTACTTTGACAACCTCAAGATGTCATTATTTAAAGGAAGAATTATTTTTAAAATAATTAATCGTATAAGCAGTCTTTTCTTGCTTTGACAACCTCAAGATGTCATTATTTAAAGGGTAGAATTATTTATTAAAATAATTAATCGTATGACAACCACAAGATGTCATTATTTAAAGTGTAGAATTATTTCTTAAAATAATTAATCTTTTCTTGCTTTGACAACCTCAAGATGTCATTATTTTAAAGGGTAGAATTATTTATTAAAATAATTAATCGTATAAGCAGTCTTTTTTTGCTTTGACAACCACAAGATGTCATTATTTAAAGGGTAGAATTATTTCTTAAAATAATTAATCGTATAAGCAGTCTTTTTCTTGCTTTGACAAAATCAAGATGTCATTATTTTTAAAGGGTAGAATTATTTTTTAAAATAATTAATCGTATAAGCAGTCTTTTTCTTGCTTTGACAACCTCAAGATGTCATTATTTAAAGGGTAAGTATTTTTTTAAAAAATAATTAATCGTGTAAGCAGTCTTTTCTTGCTTTGACAACCTCAAGATGTCATTATTTAAAGGGTAGAATTATTTTTAAAATAATTAATCGTATAAGCAGTCTTTTCTTGCTTTGACAACCTCAAGATGACATTATTTAAAAAGGGTAGAATTATTTTTTAAAATAATTAATCGTATAAGCAGTCTTTTCTCTTTTTTCATTATTTTGCTTTGACAACCTCAAGATGTCATTATTTAAAAGTAGAATTATTTCCTAAAATAATTAATCGTGTAAGCAGTCTTTTCTTGCTTTGACAACCTCAAGATGTCATTATTTAAAGGGTAGAATTATTTCTAAAATAATTAATCGTGTAAGCAGTCTTTTCTTGCTTTGACAACCTCAAGATGTCATTATTTAAAGGGTAGAATTATTTTTAAAATAATTAATCGTATAAGCAGTCTTTTCTTGCTTTGACAACCTCAAGATGTCATTATTTAAAGGGTAGAATTATTTCTTAAAATAATTAATCGTGTCAAGATGTCATTATTTAAAGGGTAGTCTTTTCTTGCTTTGACAACCTCAAGATGTCATTATTTAAAGGGTAGAATTATTTTTTAAAATAATTAATCGTATAAGAAGTCTTTTTTCTGCTTTGACAACCTCAAGATGTCATTATTTAAAGGGTAGAATTATTTCTTAAAATAAAATAATTAATCGTAAAGCAGTCGTATGAATTATTTTTTAAAATAATTTCTTGCTTTTTGACAACCTCAAGATGTCATTATTTAAAGGTAGAATTATTTTTTAAAATAATTAATCGTATAAGCAGTCTTTTCTGCTTTGACAACCTCAAGATGTCATTATTTAAAGGGTAGAATTATTTTTAAAAATAATTAATCAAGATGTAAAGCAGTCTTTTCTTGCTTTGACAACCTCAAGATGTCATTATTTAAAGGGTAGAATTATTTTTTAAAATAATTAATCGTATAAGCAGTCTTTTTCTTGCTTTGACAACCTCAAGATGTCATTATTTAAAGGGTAGAATTATTTCTTAAAAAATAATTAATCGTATAAGCAGTCTTTTCTTGCTTTGACAACCTCAAGATGTCATTATTTAAAGGGTAGAATTATTTCTTAAAATAATTAATCGTATAAGCAGTCTTTTCTTGCTTTGACAACCTCAAGATGTCATTATTTAAAGGGTAGAATTATTTTTAAAACAATTAATCAAGATGTAAAAGAATTATTTTCAAACAGTCTTTTTTTGCTTTGACAACCTCAAGATGTCATTATTTAAAGGGTAGAATTATTTTTTTAAATAATTAATCGTGTCAGTAGTAAAATTTAAAATATCTAACAAATAGGTACTAAAAGAATTTTCGTCAAGTATAGCATTTATCTATCGACGTTAGATTTTTCATAACTTTTTCTTAAATAATCTAAATGTAACGTTTGTTTGCTGATCATTATAAGACAGAATATTAATTCACCGTATTTAATTATGCCTTTGCCCGGCTGCTCAAAAACTTAATTATTTTTTTTTTTTTAGTCTCGCATAAAAATTTTATAGTTTTACGTAATGTGAGGTGTTTTTCAAAGATTGCCATGATCAATTTAGAAAGGTCGTACTAGAACTTGAAAAATCACAAAAATATACAGAAATAGGCCTCGAAACACAAATTAAATGAGTCAATTTATCTGATTAATAAAATAAATTAATAACTATTTTAAATAACATTGCAATGAATAATTTTGAAATAGAATTCAAAATTAAATTTTTTATTAAGTAAACTGGGAAAAAAATTATTCTAAAGCAATGAGTCATATAATAAAAGAAGATAAATTTTTGTATTTAATCAAACTGTCGATAAAAGCTGAATAGTATTTCATTTATTTTGCTAACATCTTTTCTCTAAGCATCAATCTCAATGACTTGAGTTCTTTACGATGTCCTTAACATTTTCGCACGGATGAAAGCAAAAAACAAATATATTATATGATTAATTAGTTAGTTATGAGAGTTATTTCTTAATTAAAAGTAATTTGTTTTAAATTGTATGTTTAGTTCCCGCGCTCTGGCTGGTGCTCTGGCCGTTGGTACCACAGGCTTCAGGTTCGAATCCTGGCTGTGTCCTGGATGTTTGTGAGTGGTTCGGAATCCACGTTAAACTGTAGGCCCCATTCTAAATAGTCCAATGTGTGCATAAAATGACCGTAGAGAAACAAACAGCCCTTTATTTTTCCCATGATCTATTTCTAACAGTTTTATTTCAGCAGATAATTTTTCTTATCACTAGTTTTTCTCTTATCATATAAGACTTTTATGTTTTGTAAGACGAAAGTCATTTTTTTGTTGTTGTTGTTGGCAGCACATTTATCAAAACATTGTTATTCTATAATGATTTCGGAAGGTAATCACAGACTTCTTTAGGTTTATTGCAGCATGT